TTTACTGCAAAAGAATGCGCTGTTACTTTAATTCAGCACTTGCAGCGCAGCAATAGACTCCGTGCGGAAATTATCTCTGCTCTGCTGCAGACTTCTAGAGCGCACTGCCGGACAGCAACCATGTGCAGTGAACGCTTTATTAATCTGTTAACATGAGCGCGGAAAAATACGCACCGCATTCGCACTGCAAACGGAGTAATGTGAACTTGGCATTATGTGTGTGCGCTGTGAGTGGGCATGAGCGCACGGTCTCCAGGAGAGCGCGCAAGCGGTGAATGGTTAAATTCAGCACTTGCAGCGCAGCAATAGACTCCGTGCGGAAATTATCTCTGCTCTGCTGCAGACTTCTAGAGCGCACTGCCGGACAGCAACCATGTGCAGTGAACGCTTTATTAATCTGTTAACATGAGCGCGGAAAAATACGCACCGCATTCGCACTGCAAATGGAGTAATGTGAACCTGGCATTATGTGTGTGTGCTGCAGAGTGTGCATGAGCGCAGTCTCCAAGAGAGCGCGTGAGCGCTGAATGGTTAAACACTGGCAAGAATTAGAAAGTAATGCAATTTATAAACTTTAGTGACGATGTGACACTGCCTCGATTGTGCAAGTGACAATTCCTGTGTCAACTGTGCAGCGTGCAGCTTGCTTATAGACAGACGCGATGTGTGGTGATTTGAAGACATTTGCGTATTTTGAGAAGGGGATTCACTTATGCTGTTTGTGAAATTACGTCTCACACAAGGTTTTCATATGAATTTATAAGTTATTTAATTAAAAAATATGAAGTAGTACCTCACCTTCAGCATTATAATTATTTCACCTGCACCGGACAGAGACTGAGACAGTGCCGCTGCATGTCATGCCAAACCTTCTCACGGCAGGTGCGTCATCAGCTTGTGATCGTTTTTTTGAGATCGGCCTTTTTAGAGACTGCCGATCAATCATCCCAAAGCGATTATCGGCCGATAGTGATCAGTAGCCGATCAATCGGAGCACCCCTACTGGAAACGAATATTCAGACAAAGACATAAGCCATAGCAAAACGGTAGCTTATGTGCACATTACAAATGTAGATTATTCAGTAAGGCTAAATTTGATAATGAATACTAAACCTGTGAAGTATCCTAGTGGTTTTTGTGTTATGCTTACATGTCACTTAAAGTAAACGTATTAAGCTGTAATTAATCTGTGAAAACAAAAGATAGTTTAAGCCCTGGTTTACTCAGTGTTTACTTCAGAGGTGAGCTGTGTCAGTTCTGGAAACACGTTGTCATTTAACAAACAACATTGCACATCTTTACGTTAAAGGGCTGAGTGCAGTGTTGATCAGTATTACATTTTTAGATATAATTATTCCTGTGATGGAAAAGCTGAATTTTCAGCAGTTATTACTCCAGTCTTCAATGTCACATGACTCCTCAGAAATCACTCTAATATGCTGACTTTGCTCTAGAAAAATTTCTTATATTAGTGTTATTAATGTCGTTATTAATTAAAAACTTGATTTTCTTGTCGAAACATTAATTTTTTTAACCAAAACGTTTTTAAGTATTAATATTTTTACTATCACTTTTGATCAATTTATTGCATCCTTGCTGAATAAGTTACATTTTTCAAAAAACTCCTAACTGATCCTAAACTTTTGAATGTTAGTGTTCAGAGTTACTTTACTGCCACCTAGCAGAAAAAAATTAAATTGCTGGCTTAAAGCCCCTTAAATCTGTAAGTGGAAGTGACGTGTGGCCAAGTATGGTGTCCCATACTCGGAATTTGTGCTTTGCATTTAACCCATCCAAGTGCACACACAGCAGTGAGTAGTGAACAAATGCACACACACACACCATGAACACACCCCCAGAGCAGTGGCCAGCCATTTTTTGCTGCAGCCCCCAGGGAGCAGTTGGAGGTTCAGTACCTTGCACAAGGGTCTCACCTCAGTTGTGGTATTGAGGGTGGAAAAGAGAGCTGGTCATTCACTCTCCCCACTTAAAATCCCTGCCGAAACTCAAACCCGTGACCTTTGGGTTACAAGTCTGACTCTCTAACCATTAGGCCACGACTGCCCCAATTTACCCTCCATATTCTTGCACATGCAGGTGGATTCACAGAAGAGCAGTTTCACTCCCATCAGCAGCAGCTGGTTCAGATGCACAAACAGTTACAGCAGCAAGAACTCCAGCAGAACTCGACAGCACCTGAACTGCACACACACCTCCCCGTGAGTATATACGCAGAAAAAATGACTGGCATTATGGGGCTAAACCTCACTCCCATTCTGTTCTGTAATTATGAATTCATAAAAAAAAAAAATAAAATAAATATATATATATATATATAAATGTATATATATATATATAAATGTATATATATATATAAATGTATATATAAAAAATGTTTTATTTATTTTTCCCACAGAACACCGTCTCATCTGACTGCATGTCTAAGACTCTGGACTCGGCTAGTGCACACTTTGCTGCCTCTGCTGTGGTCAACTTTGGAAGGCCAAACAAAGTAGTTTCGCTTTCACAATGAAACACGGCGTCACACACGGCGAGCTAGAGTGTGCGGAGGGCGGCTTGAGTGAGTGGGCGGCGGGCTTGCGGCAACCACATGTGACGACCCCGGGCTGGACTCCGCTTCGTCCACGGTGAAAGCTGAAAGCGCGATCCACAGCGGAAAGGAACAATTTTAATCGCATCATATGACCCCTTTAAAATAAAAAAAGAATCATTGCATGAAAATGTGTCTGTTTCAGTAGTTCTTGGGAATATTTTAAAACTATAAACTTTTATAGAACTTTGTGGGGAATAATAGCAAAACTGTTAATGAGACCTGAATTTATTTGGAGACTTGTGTCAAAATCTTTGTTTGGTGGTTAATTTAAGGAAAGCTGATCATATTTAAATGATTCTTCTGTCTTCTGCAGGAAGCTTTAGACAAGCAAAAATGAACCGTTCTGCACAGAGTGGAGGTGGTGGTGAGTCAGGCTCTTTAGTATGTATGATGAATGCATCTAGCCCACAGCTGCCCGTCCCTCAGTCTCTGCCTCACGGCCACGGGCACCTGAGCACTGTGAGCACTGTATCTCCTGCCCACATGCACCACAGTGCACGCCTGTGCGCCCCTTCACCCTCAGCCTTAAAGTTGGCCAGTGTTGCTAGCAGTCTGGACCGGGTAACCAAAGTCACCCCCACTAGTGCCATCGACATTGCCAGGTCGGTACCAAGACACAGCACTTATTCACTTTAGTTATTTTCCTCTCTTTTTCTTTTTTTGTATTATTATTTTTAGGGGTGGGTGGGGGTGAAAATGAATTTGAATATCTACAATTCTTTAGAATAAAAAATATTAGGGATGTAACGATTAACCGCGAGCCGGTTGAAAATCGATTTAAATATGTGACTATTCAAATCGGTTGAGATGCCAAACAAATCGCGATACAATTAGAGTAGGAGTTTATATGAATGTATCTCTGAGGTGAACTGACTATCTTTTCGTTTCATCTTGCCTCTGAACAATGCATATTAAAGTAGTGTTCATAAGCACAGCTCTGCTTTGTTCACAGCGGTAACCCAGGAAACACTGTATCATTGCTGTTCATAAGCGCCACCTGCTGTCAGAGAGTGAATCTGCATCTCATTCAGTTCGTCTGCTCTTTCATTCTGATATGTTTTATGTAGTATAGTTTCACAAAACTAAAGTCAGACCATTCTGTTTTTGCTTCAGATTTCGAAATTATACAATCTAATTTAGATTAAAAACTGCTCATGCTGCATGTATGCTGCATCTTTGTTTGGATCATGATTAAAATGCAGTGGTTGCCTCTAATTTTAAATGGAAAGAGCACAGACAAAGCCTTAGTTTGTTCATATTAAGAGATTTCTTTTATTTGTGTAACTTACTTGTTTGATTTGGGGTTTGTTTTAAAATTTCAGTTTAGTTTTGTTATATTCAATTTCACAAAGAAACGTGCAGCAATAGCCTAATAAAACGACACCTTTTCATTTACTGGATAATGTCTTCAATGTCATTTAGTAAAAAAAAAAAAGAGAAATCGTGAGAAAATAGAATCGTGAAATCAAAATCGTGAATCAAATCGTGAGTTGAGTGAATCGTTACATCCCTAAAAAATATGTACTAAAAAATGTACACTTATCGTTCAAAAGTTTGGAATCGCTGCTGTTTTTTTAATGCTTTCAAAAGAAGTTTCCTATTCTCACCAAGGCTGCATTTATTTGATTAAATTAAAAACAATAATGATGTTAAATTTAATTTATTTCTGTGAAGCTGAATTTTCAGCAGTCATTACTCCAGTCTTCAATGTCACATGATCCTTCAGAAATTATTCTTATAGGCTGATTCCGTGCTCAGGAAACATTTCTTCTTCTTTTACTTTTTCTTTTTCTTCTAAAAATGGTCATGCTGCTTAAATCATGGTTTCCACATACAAAAAAATGTATAATAAATATTTATATATATATATAATTTTTTTTCAGGATTCTTTGAATAGAAAGTTCAAAGAACAGAATTCATCTGAAAAATAACAATAAAAAACTTCAAAATTGTAAATAAAGACATTGTGTATATCTAAATTTCAAATACAGAATGAACATTTGAAATAAGTTTAAATAATAATAATAAATCATATGTTTGATTGTTATTGCAGGGAAAATCACGAACCAGAGAGACGGACTCTCAACGGATTATCAGAGACCACAGTCGCCATGGAGGTCACATAGCCCATCCAAAAACACAAAAGACTTCAGTGCTGAGAGCTGTGCGCTTCTACACAGACTTATACCCAATAACAGCATATCAAAATATTAAGATAAATTTGTCAATATTATAAGTGTACATTTTGTAAAATTGGGAATTATCACTACCTTGTAAAAATAGTATATTTGTATCATTAGTCTGTCATTTCTGTTACTTGAATCCTAGATTGTTTTTTTTTTTTGTTTTTTTTGTCATCATGCTTTTGCACTTGAAAATGCAAGCAAGACAAGTGCATCAGTTCATGTCGGGATCATGAGCATGAATATTGGTCCTGCGTCACTTGTTTTAACTATTTATTTTGCAATGTTTACATTTTTGTATCTCGTACAAATAAATCCAATTCTGTGATCACAAAATGCAGACACAGCTAGTATACCATGCTTTGTGCTTTTTTTCTTTTCAGGAAGGAGAAAGCTGAATTTGGTTTCACAGATGTGTACTTTCAGAAGGAGTGATCTTCCCTTGAAATGTCGACCATTTTTAAATGGTTTATTTTCTTGCCTTCCTCTCTTTGTCTTACCAATGTTAATTCTGGAGACCAATGGCCTCCATCAGAATGTGCTTATGTGAAGCTCCTTGAGAAATCAAGCAGAAGACCTTCAATTTGGCATTTACTTTCTGCTCTTCTGATGGAGTCAGCCGAACCCTCATTTGTATTTAGCCATTGCTGGTTAATCCGTGTGGAAGGAGCTGTTCAGGGCTCTGACTGGTGTTGTATTGAAAGTAAACTACAGGTCACAAATACTGTCAGCCATCTTGTTTATGAATGCTGAAATTTATACATCCTCAGTCCAGTGTCTTCAAATAAATTTCCCCTTTTCAAATGGCCTTTTTAATGAAATGAGTAAATCTACTTCCACAGCTGCCAGTTATTTGCATTGAGTTTCCTGTAAATAAGTACACTAGTTTTCAGTTATGATACTTCGGACATGCATGTTTTGTTCTTATGATGTTTAGAGAAAAGTATATAAGGCCTTCTTCGTGCACTTAGTGTGGACATGACATCTTTAAAAGTCATTTTAGCAATTCAGGGTGCATTACTGTAGTCAGCTGATGAGTGAGTGGTGTTTAGTATGATAAGTTCCTGGTGTTTTTGTCTTTTTTTTCTTTTTTTTTTTTTTAGGATTTAATTTGAAGTTAACAATGCAAGAATGGGCTTTAAACAGCAGAGGGGGCAAGTGAGCTCTTCAAGCCGTATAGACTTGTTCGGCATTGCTGGTAACGCCCACAAAAACGTCATAACCGTTTATGCCGAGGGGGAAAACAAACCATTCGAATTAAAGTGTGGAGACCTTGTTAGGCGCTTGATCTTTACTTTTTGTGATGATTTCGATTGAATTTTGCTTGGTGCAATGCCGAAAAGTTGCCTTGTGGCGTTCTGTACCTCTAATAAGTTAAAAAAAAACTGATCTGACGATGTATATGACTGATACACTGCAATGATCTGTCGTTAGTCCCGTCCCCCTGCACCGCAACCCAGTTCTGATGGGGCTTACAGTAACCCTCCTTCGCATGGCAATCAAATAAATCTCACTCCCTGATATTTTATGTCATAAACTATTAAAACATTTATTTCATATTATACACAATCCCTTACGAAAATTAGCAATGTTATTACTATAGTAAAAGTATAGTAGGCTATCCATGTTTTTTTTTTGGCGTTTTTATTACCAATTGTAGCCTATAACCACAGTTTTACTACAAATACCATAGTGTAGCAAAACATGTTGTTTTTACCATGGTTTAACGATAGTAACCAATAACCATGTTTTTTTCTGGTATTTTATATACATATTTTCATGTTATCTTTATTTTACGGCATGCATTTGTGAAAATGATTAGGCAGCCGCAGCACACATCACATAGAATAACGCTGCGCATTTCAAGGCACTTCAGTGGACCTTAATGTTACCCGTTTTGTCAATGTTAAAAAAAACTTTCAATATATCAATAAGAAAGTACGACAGACTTTTACTCAAGTCGTTATCACTTTATTAAAATTAAGCAAAACAAAACTACAAATGTTTACTTTCACAAGCTGTCTCTTGCTCAATTAGGTAACAAAAATGTCGGGAACCAACACCTCTGGCCATTCCGTTGGGTCGTTTGTCCAGTCACAGATACCGTACGGACAGTCCGACCCAATACGGCTCAGATTTTATGCGTATGTTGCTCTGTCGAGCGGCAGACATAGTTTTATGTAGGCCATTCTGAGTCAACACCATGCTTTTCCAATGAGGGGGAAACTACTGTTTGTTTCCCCCCACGCCGACTCCGCCCACACAGCTATGACACGACACCGATCAAGTCTAGTTCGGCTGGCAGGTTCCCCAGAAGTATGTGACCTGTTTCCTGCCGTTTTGAGAAGGGTCTGGCTGCAGCTTGGCGCTTGCACTCTCAGGCTTGCACTCTCAGACACTTGCTCTTCCGCTAGTGACATCAGCACGTCTGAGAGTGCAAGTGCCAGCTGCAGCCAGACCCTTTTGCTTTTCCAAACTCCGCTTGCTTTACATTTGACTTACACTAACGTTCAAAAGTTTGGGGTCAGTAAGATTTTTTAAAATGTTTTTCAAAAAGACTTACGCTTTTATTTGATTTATTTTGCATTTATTTGAATGCAAAGAACATCTAGAACATATATTAAATCAGTGTTGAAAAGTTATGTAATATTTCTGTGGAAACCATGATTTAGAAAATGCAGGATTGTTGAGAAGAACAGCATTTCTTTGAAATATAAATAGTTTGTAACATTATAAATGTCTTTACTGTCACTTTGGATACTGAAAAAAATATTAATTTCTTAAAAAAAAAAAAAATCCACCCCAAATATTTGAATAGTAGTATATACGGACAAACCTAACAAAATGTCACATAAGCATGACAAAAACATTGTGTATGATTTTTCTGTTTATTTTTTGTTTCTTATATGAAGTTTAAAAGCTTGTGTATAAAGACAGAACGGTGTAAAGTTTAGGATCTTATTTTATCTTATATACAAATTAGCAAAGAACAAAAAGTCATTTCAGATTGGAAAATTTGTAGTAATTTTAAAGAAAGAGTTCTGTTTGTATGGTTATCCATCTCATTTAAAACTAAATATTTATATTTGCAAATAAAATGCAAATTCAAGAAAACCTCAAATTGTGACGTTATGCATTTTAGCACTGCAACATTGTGATCCACATTATACACTGATTTGCTGAAACTTTGAATAGTATCAAAATGAAGTACAGTAGATGTTGCAAATGTTAAAGATACAGAAAAAAATCATACATTTTCAGCAATCTCATGGGAATAAATTATTAATGATTAAATTACTTACTGTCTTAAACTCTGATTGGACTTCTACATAGGCTAAAATCACTATTGTTCATCACTTTTTGCTCTTGTGCGCAATATGTCCTTTTATTAAGTCTAATATTCATAAAATAGCATAAGACACACATTACATGTATACTCAAACGTAATACACCTTGTGCAGAAAAGACAATTTCACATTTTAGATTTAAAAAACATTTATGTGAAAAAAAGGCCTACAGTAGAAAAGGTATTCACTGAATTAAAGGAAGAGTTGAAGATCTGCTGCTTCGTCAGAGATTCATGTTCTTCATGGCTCACAGATCAAAGTCTCCACAACAAACTTGTTTTCAAAATGGCGGATCTTGTGGCAGTTCAGAGCTTCACGTTTCTGCATACCTGCAGTGGAGCACATTCAGCTTTCAGAAGTTTGAAAGTATATAAAACCTCAAATGTACTTGTTTATACGGTTAACATGAGAGGAAATACTGTGCGCCTCCTTCACTTATGCACATATTTGTGCTTAAAACTTGAAAACAAGATCCACCGCGAAAGTGGAAAGACGTAACCACCGTTTACTGTAAACAACGTCTTTGGTTTGTTTGTGTACACTTACCCAGTATGATGTCTCTGCGCTGGAGTCTGTACGTGTCTTTGTCCTTGCACAGGTCATTGATGTAATAGCCCAGATCACTGGTGCTGTCCAGCCTCTCTGTAACCATCATCTCCTCTCGCATAAGGTACGTCTGAGGAAGATACATTCCTGCCTGCAAAACACACACAGAAAACGTAAACCTAACGTCTGAAATGCATTTGTGTGAAAAATACATCCACGCCAACACAAGAACCACTTATTGACACAAATTCACAGCATCTCCTGTTATTAAATGTGGCTGTTTACCTTGATGTTGACCAGGAACTCGTGGAAATCTCTGGGCGGCATGACGATAGAGGTGTTCAGGGTGATGATGTAGCATCTGTCCAGATTCAGGTCGAGATACGCAGTCAGTTTCTGACAGCACAGAATGACACACAAGGTTATTGACACGGAAACAGACAGATTGTTTAACACTGAGAAAATTATTTTAGTATTATAATGAAAACCGGAACTAAATATTCAAGACTGAGGGAGGACCAAAAGTAAAAATCAAAGAATTAGTTATTGACAAACCCATATTTATTGTCCTGTAATCTAAATATGTCAGCCTATTAGGGTTTTGTGGGGCTTTTTTTTTTTTTCTTTAAAAAATTGTGGTGATGTTTGTAGAATTTTTATGTTGTTTGGCAGTGAAAACTAACCAATCATTATTATGTATTGATGTAATGAGTATTTGTGACAATAAGCATACAATAACCGTACAACCATTCAAAAGTTTGGGGCTGGTAAGATGTTTTTGAAAGAAGTCTCTTGTGCATTTATTTAACCAAAAATACAGTAAAATGTGTATTTTACACCCCCCCCATTAGTGAAATAATAATATGTCACTAATGCACTTATATTTTCAGAGTCGCTTTAACAAGAAACCGGAAACTCAAGAATATTCATTTTGCAACCTATAATCTCAGAAACTGAAAATTTCACCAGTCCATCCCTGCTAAATTTATAATGGATATGAATACAGCAGTGTGGCTGATAATATGTCAGTTGACTGATAATATGTCAATGGTGGTTATGGCTAAACACTGTGCATGTGCGTGTGTGTGTGCATTTTTGTACCATGGTGAAGTCATGCAGGATGCCAGCTGAATCGCCGTCTCTGAACTCAGGGACTGGTACTTTGATGAGCTCCACCTCATCGTCTTCGAAAAAGCTCACATTCTCTTCAAGCAGCATCAGCGGCGCCTCAAACTCCACCTCCACCTCCTCATCAAACTCATAGTCTTCCTCAAAGTACTTCAACCCACAGACAAACACCTGATCCTCCTGTGTGTTATAAAAATCATACAGCATTCACACAAATTGGCAACAACATTTCAAAGAGCAGTTTGGTACCAACAAAATGTACACTTTTCGAAAGGCAAATCAATTTGTTAGTTGTGGGAGGTGCATGTCACAAGTGTAACAATATAATAGTAGAAAAAACAAAAACAAAAAGCTTGATACAGAATTAATTTACAAGTACAGATCCATAGATGTCCTGCTGTTTGAAAAATTCTGTATTTTTGAGGATGAAGGCAAGTCATATGACCTTTTCATATTGGCTTGTGCCTAATTTTGCTCACTTCTACCAAGTGGCAGATGATATTGCATTAATATGCCATAAAGTATTTGCAGTCACGTAATTGCAAGGCTCCAACATCACAGCGCTTACCCTGACCAGAATTCTAATCACACATACTTGCTACTGGTCCAGCTCACTCATTAGGACTGCTACAAAAGCACACACCTCATCTCACCTCATTATCTGGTCTCCTTTGTACAAAATGGACTATTTGCCTGACTTCCTGAACTCCAACAATTACCTCCAGCGATTATTCTTCAGTGTGTCTTCCCTTCCTTCGTGTCTCCAGCGTTCTCTGTCTACAATTCATATCGTCCAGGTACCAAGAATGTCAAAGCAGATGCCCTCTCCCGTCTTCAAGGTCCAGAAGAGGTCACAGAGGAACCTGAACCCATCTTGCCTCCCAGCTTGATTTTGAGTCCCATCCAGTGGTCACAGGAACTAACCACCTCCTCCAATGCCTCCAAAAAAAACGCTCTGCTGGGGTTTCACAGATAACAGCGCACCCCACTCATCCAGTCTGCTCACATATCACTGGGCACTGGCCACCCAGGGGCCAATAGCACCCTCTCGCTGCAGAAAGATTGCTTCTTTTAGCCCAACCTGGCCAGAGATGTGAGAAGGTTTGTTCTAGGCTGCTCGGACTGTGCCATCTACCAACAGGCAAGCTCCATTCGCTGCCCAATCCCAATCGCCCATGGTCACACCTACGAGTGGACTTCATCACGGACCTGCCCCACTCTGATGGCAATGCATGTATTCTTGTTGTTATTGATCGATTTACCAAATCATGTCATCTGCTTCTTCTTAAAGGGATTTCCATGGCAATGGAAACTGCAGAACTCCTCTTCAATTGTGTCTTCAGGTACATTGGGATTCTTGAGGGCATAGTATCAGATCGGGGCCCCCAGTTTATGTCAAAGGTATGGAAAGATTTCTTCACCCTCCTAGGTGTGACTGTGAGTCTCTCATCCTGATACCATCCCCAGTCGAACGGGCAGATAAAGAGAACGATCCAGGAATTTGGACCTTTCCTATGAACCCTCTGCCATGGACGCCAGAACTCTTGGAACCAATTCCTAGGCTGGAGCAAAGTACTCTCAGAACTCCCTTCATCAGCCTGCCACTGGACTTCACTCCCTTTTCAGTGTGTGCTTGTTTACCAGCCTTCTTTGTTCCTGTGGTCCAGGGAACTATCGGATGTCCTATCTGTCGACTTGTGATTCCAAGAGAGCGAGAGGGTCTGTGATGCGGGCAGTGCGACGCCAACGGATCCAGGCGGATATCTGATGGATGGATAGTCCAACTTTCAGTTTGGACAGAAGGTTTGGCTATCCACCAGAGACATCAGGATGTGCCTGCCATGCAAGAAGCTTAGCCGCAGATACACTGGCCCCTTCACCATCACCCGACAGATCAACCTGGTCACTTATCAACTGCACCAATTTTAGTATCTGGTAGACTGGGAAGGTTATGGTCCAGAGGAACGCTCATGGGTTCCCCAGAGACGATATCCTCGATCCAGCCCTGCTCACAGCCTTCCACGACTCTCACCCTAATCGTCCTTGGCCCAGAGGAAGAGGTCGACCACCACAGCGTCCGGGTCCTCGGCCACTGGGAGCAGGCCGAGGAGGTGGGTGGGGTACTGTCACGTAATTGCCAGGCTCCAACATCAGCCAATCACAGTGCTCACCCTTACCAGAATTCTTATCACACATACTTGTTACTCGCGATTAGTAAAGCGATTAGCGATTAGTCAACAGAAGAGACAGACAGCTGCACGCGAGTGTCCTGCGTAATACTTGTTTATAGATCTGCTGTTGCTCGTCCAGCTCACTCATTCGGACTGCTACAAAAGCACACACCTCATTGTCTGGTCTCGTTTGTATGAAGTGGTCTACTTACCAGACTTCCTGAACTCTATCAGTTACCTCTAGTAATTGTCTCCAGTGCGTCTTCCCTTCCTAAGTGTCTCCAGTGTTCTCTGTCTACAAACCTGTGGAAAGGGATTACCTTTATACTCACCATTTGCAAAGAGGTGTGTGCATCCTTCCTCTCATCCGCTCTGCCATCCATGATCCCCTGAACCTGTAACAAAGGAAAGTCAAGTTATCAACTTTACTCTCTCTCCTGATTATATATCTGAACTGCATACTCCAACTTGATTGCCAGTTTTTCAGTGCTGTATTAAACACTCTAGGGCTGTCAAAATAAAAATTAGAATTTCGAATATTCGTCGAATTTAAAATAAAAATCCACATTCGAATGCAAAACTGAAGCCAATAGATGCGGCACTGCTGCGTTGTTGATTACAAATATTGCGGGAAAAGAGAACATCAATGCAGAGATCTTGTTTACATCAAAACTGAAACCAAACCGTTCACACAGAACGCATATTTCGCGCATCTATCACCGTTGCACTCGAGAACCGCATGTTTGGAAAGCCATGTAAAATTAATGCAAGTTCTTTGAACTTTCTTTGAACTTTTGTCAACTTTGAAAAAACATATCTCGAGACTTAATGGCGGGTTTTTTCCCCATCCCACTGCAACTCGTGCTTTTAAACAAAAAATGTACTCTGTGTGATTGGCTTTCGGCCGTTTGTATTAAACTATGAATGCATACATGATGCTGTTTTGTTTATAGTTGTTTAAGCAACCTAATTATAATTGGTTTATAAACATTATTTTAAACATTATGCACTTTTTTTTCACAGATAGTCATGTTATATGCTCGATGCGCCCTCTTGTAGCCTCAGGAGAAAAGCCAAAAGCTTTTCTTTACCCTAACTGAAATTATGCATTTTAAATTCGAATATAATTCGAATTTTGATAATATTTAAGCACAAAATTCGAATTTAGTTTTTCAGCCATTTTGACAGCCCTAAAACACTCCGTTAATTCCAGCTATCTGAGTTTACATTATGTAACATTTGCTGTCTGTGCTCGATTTTATGCTTAAGTTTCTTTTGCATCTCAGAGTGAATCTGTGACCCATTTCTGGGCCACAACCCCCAGCTGAAAATCACTGCTTCAAGGCTTAGACTGATTATGAAGTAAATGTTATAAAAACGAATTAAGTGACGATAAACATCAATGCAAGATGACACAAGTTAGATGTTATGATGTTTTGTTTTTGATATCACTATGGTTACATCAATTATCTCACCTCAAGCATATAGTATCTATACAGGAAGGCTCCTCCCACCACTACACCAGAGAGAACGAGAGCCAATCCCAGACAGAAGCACCAGCACCACACCTTAGACTGCGGACGCACCAACACCGCTGCCTCAGAATCCTACAGAGAAATGACAGTTACAACATTACATTTAAACAATTACTTAACAATATATATATATTCATCAAAGAATCCTGAAAAAAAATAACATCACGGTTTCCACAAAAATATTAAGCAGCACAAATGTTTTCAACATTGATAATAATAAGTGTTTCTTGAACATCAAAAATGATCATTTCTGAAGGTTCACATGACACTGAAGACTGGAAGAAAGGCTGCTGAAAAAATCAGCTTTGTCATCAAAGACGTATATTAAATTTTAAAATGTATCAAAATAGAAGTTATTTAAATTGTAATAATATTTCACAAATTACTGTTATACTGTATTTTTAATCAAATAAATGCAGCCGTTTAAATGTGAGCATATTAAACAAGGCCTAAAAGAAAAGAACAGGTCAACACGAGAATTAAAGTGGTCTATCCAAGTTACAGAGAGTATTTTCAAAGTAGTAAAGGACAAAATATGAATATTATTGGATAGAGATTCATTGTCCTTGTTCAAATGAATGCCTGATTTTAAGCACTATGTACAATATACAGTATACAGAAGGGCCTGACTCTCCACCCTAAACTTTCAGTCTTGTCCATGTAGACATTCACATACAGCTCACAGACAGCAGATATCATCTGCCATGAGACACACCACAAATGAACCCAGAAAAAGTCTATTCAGAGCCTATTTTAGACAGAAATGATGACAAATGGCAGATTTGAGACAAACAGAAAAAAAAGAAAAGAAAAAAAAAGAAGTGAGATTCACACTGCATCTCTTTTGGTTTCAAGTCGAGAGGCATTAAAACAGTTTGGTGTCAGCTACTTCTGCAAAAAGTCATAAAGAGGAAAATTCTTCAAATTGTAATCTACATAAATGCTTCACTCAAATAATAATTGCACACAAGCACAAGCATGAATTGAAAGAGAAAGTAAATCAAGCAGTTTCTATTTGACTAGCAGAAGGGGAATTTAATTTAGTATCAGAATGATAAAAAGGGAGACACAAATAACATGTATAATACAGGAGGGAGAGAGATACAGTGCCACTGAAAGCATTCAGACCTCCTTGTTTCATTGTGCTCTACTTATTTAATCCAAATAGTCAAAATAGTTTATCCTAGTTTAATATCCTGCAGTGGATTTTTTTTTTCTTTTTGCACATTATCTCATTGATGTATAAATTTGCAAAAGCTAAAGAAAACAAGTGAGTTTTCTAAAGAGATTTAAAAACCGATAGCGATGGAGCAGCTCTGAGGTGCGCTGGCAGGCTGTTCCATAATCTAGGGCCCATCACCGAAAAAGCTCTATCTCCTCTGCGTTTTAGCCTAGTAGAAGGAACCATAAGTAGGTTTTGATTACCAGATCTTAAATCTCTGGTAGGGTTGTAGGGATGCAGCAATTCTGATAAGTAACGTGGGGCAATGTTGTGTAAACATTTATAAACAAATAGGATTTTTAAATTTATCCTAAAATGAATAGGGAGCCAATGAAGAGCTCGCAAAAGAGCTTATAACATTTTGCCCTTTGGCTTCTTTTAGGGCTGCACATAAATCGCATGCGATATTTAACGCGCATCTTATCGCCGGTTCTGTAATCAGCGGTAAATCTCCATCACCTGCGGGCTTTCTCATTTTGACGTTTGGCTTCTTTTAGGGCTGCACATAAATCGCATGCGATATTTAACGCGCATCTTATCGCCGGTTCTGTAATCAGCGGTAAATCTCCATCACCTGCGGGCTTACATTGAGCAGCATTAACTACACAGAGTCGTTGTTCACTGACGAGCTGCGCAAAAAATCGCGCGAATATGAACGTGGTTTTGAGCAGCTCATCAGTGAACAACGGCTCTGTGTAGTTAATGCTGCTCAATGTGAAAGCACGCAGGTGATGGAGATTTACCGCTGATTACAGAACCGGCTTTAGATGCGCGTTAAATATCGCATGCGATTTATCGTGCAACCCTAGTTTCTTTCTTTCTTTTTTCTGTTTTAATAATAATGTTTAATTTATATAGAACCTTTCCATAGCTCAGTTGAGATACAGCAGGGAAATCAAATCAAAACAACTATCAAATGGTATAGACAAGCAGTAGAATAGCGTTTAGTTCTAAACTTAAGTTGAGGTCTACCTTTCATATTCTTGGCTTGCAGTTCTGACTGTTTATGCAATACACCAATTTTCTTTAAAGTTGCTTGTTTGTATCATAAACATGTTTGGGAGTGCACACATTAAACATGTCTCAACACGTCTGTCTTTCACAACCCATGAAAAGCACTCACATATATAACAGTGAAGTCTCCTGTTAGTGAGCGTAAAGCATTTCTAAAGTGTGTTGTGAAAAACACAGCTAAATGGTTAAGTCCACTTTGCAGGGCACTTGGTCAACTGGAATGCACCTACTGTTTATCTCAATTTTAGTTTTACTTTTGTAAGTGGCCCCCTAATACTCAGAGGTACCGGCACCACTGGCCCATAGTCTAATCCTTGATTTGGTCATTTTTAACTAGTCCGGCCTGCACACATAAATTAATTTGAAATAATTCATACTTGTCAGCAAATTTTCCAATAGTTGGCCCTTACAGTACACACAGGAAAAACTTTAAATACCCCCCCCCCGTATCTGTCATCCATATTCTATTCTATTATACTTTTATTAATAATAACAACAATAATAATAATATCTATTATATATTTGTATTACAGGGCACATGTATCAATTGTGTCACAAGTATTTCATATTTTTTCAATAAAAAAAGAATCAAATAGCTTTTTTTATCAGCATACATATAAAAAATAGACAAAAAAATGTCAGTGAGGCAACAACAGGCTGTGTCGGCTGCCAACACACCCACCCACACACACACACACACACACACACACACACAGCTCAGTACAGTCTGTTCAGGCAGTATCACATCCAACAATACCAGGAAATTATGAGTTTATTAACATTTTATAACACTTACAAAAACGTACCATGGTAACCAATGTTTCTGTCAAAATACCATAGTAGCCTATCTAATTACAATTATTTTGACCTCACTTAACTCGGTATCAGCAACCACCGTCATCAAAGAATAAAAACATCCCATAGGGGCTTGTGTAAATTAGTTAAAATTTTAATTAGATTACCAAAACGTATCAATTAAAAACATCAAAATAAATTAAAATAAAATACATCAAATATTATTTAAAGTAAAAATGAAAATGAAATAAACATACTGAATTAAAAAAACTTTTTTTTCTTTGTGGACTAAGGCAACTCTTTAAAAAAAGGGCAGGTAACGTTAGTTCAATTCATTATTAATTTAATGAGGTGAAAAGAACTGCGGTAACTTTTTACCAGGGTATTAGTGATTACAAGGGTGATTACGTTACCCGTCTTTGACAAACTTTGGGCCGTCAGCCATTTTATAACACTTTCACTGAACCTGATCAATGTTTAATGCGCAAACCTGAACAAAGAAACACATTTAACGTACTTCTACATTTGGAACACTCTCTGTACTTCTGGACTTTTCGATTAAAAGGCTTAATTACGAGATCATATTGATAATAATATTGAACGCAACATTCCTAAAATGCGGTTAAGCAATTCAATAGAAGTAAATATACACTAGATTTGTTAGTGACTACAGTACCTGTACATCAAGAATGAGACTTTCCTTCTTTGGATCCTTGAAGGCGAGAGCCTTGTTAAAAGAAACTTTAACCATACTGAAAAGTTTCTGTAAGTGGTTGTTTCCACGAGATCGAGAAAGAATAGAGACAGAGCAAAATGAAAGCGTTTAGTTTCCTGATCAACACACGGTCTGCGTGTGACGCACATGACAGATCAGACCATCAACAGCTCTCACTGCCTCTAGTGACAACTACTAGAAAATCAACTACAACTATGGCAATCACTTTTAACAAATGTATTTCTCAATACATTGTTATAATTACTTTAAAATTACCAGTAGGCCTACGTTTAATTACAATTAAATGTCGAATATATAAGGAAACAAACAATTATAATAACATCTGGACTTATTCTTGAGAATCATAAAGCCATGGTTCTCATCTAGGGGTCCGAGGCCTCAGCAGACTTCCGGGTGGCACCTCAAGGTGACTTAATATGATTTAAAATAAGACAAAACAAGCTTTGAAATAAGCCAAAACAATAAGCTTTGAATTTTGTCAGATAGTGTGGGGCCTTGTAGTCAAAAGGCTGAGAACCACACGATATAACTGCAAAAAATAAAATTAAAAATGCTATTCCAGTTGTTGTTGTTGTTAACAGTATACACATTTTATGTGTAACTGTTTAGATTATTTAATAACAGGTTGGAATGGCTAAGGTTCAATTAAATTATTAACAGTAAGATTAAACATGTTGCTTAAAGATGACAACAAGTGGACAATAACAAGCTTATTGACAAAAAGTCACAGGGAACTAAACATGTGGGCTCCAAACACACCTGGTGCCATTTCTACAGATGGTGGCACCAGGTGTGTGGGGGTATTAAAAATAAAGATAATTTATTAATAAAATTATTGTTTTGCATTAGTAAGTGCAGATACTAATAAAATTACACATTTATTTCTCGGTAATGTACATTTGACAATAAAGCACCGAGTTTGAGTTGGGAAGCATACAAAATGTATTAACAACAGTATATTTTATAACCTGCGAAATCAGATTTTTATATGAAAATGTTTTTTATATTCTACTCTTATTAAATGTACCATTATTCTATTATAGTATTATACTGAACTGACCGACAAGTTCAGTGATTATTAGGAGCGCTCTTTACTAGCTTTATCTGTGATTATGTCGCAAATGAAAGTGTTTGACTTTTATTGGCCTACTTCATACGCAAAAAAGAGCAAAACTTTGACAAAATTTGGTTTCTTGATTTGACATTTTCTAATAGTGATTTTATAACGAGCAAAAATGTGGAAATTAATGACTAATAAGCCAGCAAGTGCTCCTCTGCTGCCATCTACTGGTTATAATGGTAATTTATTTATTTATTACATGTTTGTTTACCACAAAGTATATTTTGGTCGTCCCATTAAAATAACATTTAAATTGGATCGTTTTTAGAGCTTTAAAGTGCTGGAAATAGTTGTGTGAAATACTTGAAAGTCATTGAAATTTCTCTCTCAAAAGGTTGTACAAACCCTTAAATTAATAATGTAATACCATTCGACTATTTCTGCCACAACACAATGGTGTTGGCGTTACTTCTTCTGGTTTTCTATGTCAGCGCTGTTTGATCTGTTTCTAACAGAATTCTGTGCAGAATTTGAACGCATCTCACTAGATCTCGAACCTTATTCATTCTGCGGCGAATTCAAACATTTGCATCTTCTTGGACTCATCTCTATCCAAAAAACGCAATTTAAAAGTACAGAGTAAAATATGCTAATTTCAGTGACTCGTAAAACACACAAAAACGGTAATCTATATAAATATTCTTAATCGATCAATCAAAAACGAATATTGGCTGATCCTCACCAGCGCTGAGAAAACGAACAAGTAAATAACAACGGCATCTATAAGTGACAGATATTGCTGTCATACTTGTAGTGTTCTCACTCGTTTGCTCTGTAACCCCGCAGTTTTACAAGAACTGTTTATAAACACCACAGATAATATTTTATTGAGAGCGATTGTACATTGTGGTCCTTCTGCCAACAGGCGTCACTGTCTGACTCATGCTTATGCGTTTTATTTCTCACGCATGCGCATTGCGCAAGAGAGGACAAACAGTCATGGCGGCGGCGGAGAAGCCCACGAAAGGGAAGCTTTTAGCCGCTCTGGATGATATTGAAGTTTTATCCAGGTTTGTCTTCATATATTCTGCATGTTTAGATGTAAATAACGTTGTAAATACATTTCTGTGTGCTTTTTTTTTTAATCTGTTACAAAACAGAGTTATATTAAACTGCTAGTTCATTCTTGAAATGTTCAGTGATTTCTGCTAACAGTTGCTGGGGTTAGATAATAATCGAATAAATAAGTCACAGTCTCCTTTGTCCACTCGAGTCTACTGTTTTCACAGCTATTAACACATATACTGACACACTACCATTCACACACAGCTCCTCTTTGGTTCTCTATATTCTTGTTTGTGTTGCAGAGAGCTGATAGAGATGCTGGCGCTGTCCAGGACACAGAAACTGCCCCAGCCTGGGGAGGACACAGAGGTGAGAGTGAGAGACACTCTACTAGACACACAAGTACAGACAATACTCAATTAGTGATTGAGACAACGTTGAAATCTGAAGAAGAAGATATATTTGTATCTGATATTTGTAGGTATTAAAAATCTGATTTAGCCTGGGAAAAAGAAAAAAGCCTGAGAAATCCTAAGAAATTTTTTATTTGCTTTGCTATTTAATTAGAGTTAGTATTAGTATTAATGTTGCCTTGTGAATTGTTGTGTGCTTGCTGGACTATTATATGGCAGTGCAGAGCATGAATTGACTGTATGCTGATTCTGTGAGCAGATACTGGAGCTGTTGGTGCAGAGAGATAAAGAGTTCCAGGAGCTCATGCAGACGGCAGTGGAGCAGGGCAAAGTGCACCAGGAGATGCAGGCACTGGAGAAGGAAGTCGAGAAGAGAGACAGCGATATCCAGCAACTCCAGAAACAACTCAAAGAGGCTGAGCATATACTGGTAACTGACATGAGCCAATGCACATTTATTTCAGTAACAGACCAGCATGCTTAATCAGTTTACAAACTGTCACTTTTTGTGCAGCTTTTAATTTTAAAGAATAATTTAGGCTTTGAATTTCAATATTGTTTAAATTAACTCTTTTTGTTATGATGTGTATTTACACTGTAACAAGGACACTTTATAATAAAGTGCAACCCACTCAGTCTTTTTATACAAACTGTGTTTGACACAATATCTATGAATCACTTCTTTAAACTGGAAATAACTGTTTTTCATTAATCATCAGGCCACTGCTGTCTACCAAGCCAAAGAAAAACTGAAGTATATTGAAAAGGCCAGAAAAGGTATTATGGTGGTTTTAAAATGATGACCATATTTTCTGGAAAATAAGTCACACCTGGCTATAAGTCGCACCAGGTCAAATTTGCATTGTTGAGAAGAAGAAAAAAAAAAAACCAACACAGAAAAGTTGCATCGAGTACAAGACATTTTGTTATTACATTCAGAAACATTATAAACACTGTAAAGATGTATTTTAGTTTCCCTTATGCCACAACAAATCCTATAAATGTAATGGTATTCATAACTGAACAGGAATGTAAAATATAAAGCAAGCATAATTTATAGTGGCATTCATTTTTTAAAGGAATTTATTTAAACTGACAGTGAAACTGCTGGCTTGTGGGAAATACACTATACAAATAAACTTGGTAATGTGCTTGACATTAATTTCATTATATAAGCCTCTTTGGATTTTAAGTCGCAGCACGTTTCAGATGATTTAAAGTGTGACTTATATTCTGGAAAATATGGGAGTTCTCAGTAGAATTGATTCAGTCACAAGACTGAGATGCAGGTAATTGTATTTTATTTATTTGACTTAATGTGTTGATATACCATAGTATAAAATAGATTCTGCTCTAGTTAAAAATCGACTTTCTCTGTGTCTCACTCTTTTTGTTTGTTTTCACTAGGGAGTATCTCTTCAGAGGAGCTCATCAAATACGCTCACAGGATCAGTGCCAGTAATGCGGTGTGTGCTCCTCTCAACTGGGTTCCAGGTAAATAGACAGTTTTTTTTTCTGTGTCCAGTTATTTTATTCATCTCTTTCACTCATTTGATCTCCTAAGAAACATTTTGTGTTGTATTTGTAAGTTCTTATGATGTGCATGTATGTGTAGGCGACCCCCGCAGGCCGTACCCCACTGATCTGGAGATGCGCAGTGGAATACTGGGTAACATGAGCAACATGTCCACCAACGGAGTGAACGGGCACCTGCCTGGAGACGCATTGGCTGCTGGGAGATTACCAGGCAGGCTCACTCTTTTTTTCAGATGTTTGATCAAATTAAAAAATTATAATTAAAACAATAGAATATGAACAAGTAGAATAAGTTGAAATCAAATGAAATCAGTATTCAAATTAATTTGTACTACGGAGGTGGAACAGAAGAATACAAAAGTGGTTTGTAGGTGTATTTTCAGACGTTTAATGAGGCTCAGAGGTGGCATAAGTGCAATTAAATTAATAAATTCATGTTGAGAATTACGTTTTAAATATAAAATTGATTATAGAAATATTAAATGATTTAAATAACTGAAATGATACTTTAAAAAATGAGACTTAAGCTGCCAGTATGTGTCAGCAAGCCACTGATTTTATCACTGAATCAAGCAAGTTAATCAATGAAGCAAGTGACTGTCTTTATGAATGTTTAATTGATAGTTTTCACGTGACGTCACACCCTTAAAGGAACGCCCACATGGAGGGCAAAACAAGGCTTTCCTCCACTGACCGCCAGTTATTTTTATAAGGATTGCATTAAGTAGTAATGTAGTAAGACAGTGATATTTAAAGACCAATTCAGTATACACTTTATTGATGATGCAGACTTTGTACAGGCAAGCAGATGAACCCAGAATATAAACGCAATGAGCAAAGTTTAATATGAAATGTTTTCTCATAGAAGACCATTATAAAGAAGACGCTTAACCATTTAGCGCATTGCGTTCATGTTCCGGCTCATTTGCTTGCCTGCATAAAGCACGCATCAGCAGTAAGGTGTGTACTGAATTTGATCTTTTAATATCACCATTTTAAAGGCACTTTAAGTATTTTCATGTTAAACGATTTAGAATGTCCCGCTGTTTTTAGTGATTGAAATATTGTGCCGGGTGATTTATATGGATTGCTAAAGGCCAAAACTTGCATTTTGTTCACATATCTTCGTTTTATTCTTTTGAGAGATGATCTAAATATTTTTGGATTGGAACAGATAGAAAATCGACAGGCTTGTGCTGCAGTTCTATGGATGTTTTGCCCGCCAGGTCTTCGAGCCGGTCACATGACTGAAAACTATCAATTGAATCATTGACTCACTAGATTTGTAAATGAAACACCGCTGTGTTTGTTTGGAGATGCGCAGTGGCTCAGCTGTGAGTTTGTTTGAAGTTATTTTTGTTGACGAAATAGAGAAAAATCAGGCAATAATGTTATAGTCAGACAATGTAAGTCACTTAATAGTAACTTCTTGTTTATTGAACTGTTGTATTAAATCAATATCACATATGCAAACTCCCTTAATCATTAAAAGCTGTCACTCTCCTTAGTTCATTGCGATCTCAAAAAGTTCCATTATAATCAACGAAGCTCCCTACACTGCACAATGAATCTCTTATTTACATTGTGTCTACACTTTGTTATAATGAGAAGAGAAGAGAATTGGTGAGCTTGCAGAACTCAGTGAGTGGATTTTGATTAACACTGTGTTTAAGAAATCAACATATGTCTGTGATACATTACTCAGTGCTGCAAAAACACGTTGTAAGTAGAAACCTTTGAAGCTCCCCTGAGCGCAAACACAATATGCTGATCGGGTCAGTCACACTGGTGCTCCTAAATATTTTTTCATAGTCGCACGCAGTAGTTTTCAGTCACAAACGCGACTTAAATGGTCGCACTGTAGATCCCTGGACTATGTACTTTTGTATTGAAGCATAGAATGTTTCCTTGATGTTAATTTTTTGCTATGTCTCAACATGAGCAACATGCCCACCAACGGAGTGAACGGGCATCTGCCAGGAGACGCATTGGCTGCTGGGAGATTACCAGGCAGGTTCACTCTTCTGTTTCCTCCTCCGTCTGCACTCTTTTCTCTTCCCGGTTGTCTTTATCATACAAATATTGTGGTTTGTGTGTGGCCATGCACTTTTCTGTTGAAGAACAGAATGTTTCCTTGATGTTTATTTTTTGTTAATGTCTTTCTCCTTTCTCTTTTAGATATTCTAACCCCCCAATATCCTTGGCAGTCCGCTGATGTTTCCATGGGGATTCTGCCTCCTCACCATGGCAGCGATTTTGGTTTGGAGCCACCTGGTCATAACAAGGAAAATGAAGATGATGTTGAGGCCATGTCAACAGATTCCTCCAGCAGCAGCAGTGACTCAGACTGAGCGTGTGTGTGTGTGTGTGTGTGTGTCCACAGTAACTTGAGTTTGTCCACCTGGAACAGCCTAAAAGTGTGTTGTCTGCATCTTGTTTCTGTGATTGTGGACTTCCAGATGACAACATATTCTGCTTTCAGGAGGACCAAACCTACACGGGTCCTCTTTTCAGCAAAGCCTCATTTGGCTGGATATGTTTTACAAATATGCTTGGTTTTTTCATTCTCCAGATGCCTTCAGTCATCATTTGTTTGTTTAATTTTATCCCACTGGCCTCAAATGTCACCAATGCATTATTTTCATTGTGTACAGAGTGACAGGCTCATTTGCATTTATTTGTTATCTAGTGAAGTGTTACAGTTTCTGGTTTACAGTTGGAATATAAATAGCAATGTAAATACCTCTGAACTTTCAGACTCTGTAAATAAAACTTTTTTTTTTTAAATATTATTTTCTTCATTTTGTTTTTTACTTGTCTGTTTTGTATATACAGAAGGTGTAAGGCATTAGAAGAATGGGTATTTAAATGACCCATCTGGTCCAGTTTTTCTATATATATATATATATACATCGCGGTTCTTACAGCGATGGCGCCGCAGATGGCAGCCTCAGTGTTTGGCTCTCCAGTGTTTGTATTGTTTTTGTTAGTTTTTCCTGTTTTTTGTTTCTCAAACACGATCAGTTTTACCAGGGATGAGCTGCTGAACATTCGGCAGAACACGATGCGAAGTGGAATACTGGGTAACATGAGCAACATGCCCACCAACGGAGTGAACGGGCATCTGCCAGGAGACGCATTGGCTGCTGGGAGATTACCAGGCAGGTTCACTCTTCTGTTTCCTCCTCCGTCTGCACTCTTTTCTCTTCCCGGTTGTCTTTATCATACAAATATTGTGGTTTGTGTGTGGCCATGCACTTTTCTGTTGAAGAACAGAATGTTTCCTTGATGTTTATTTTTTGTTAATGTCTTTCTCCTTTCTCTTTTAGATATTCTAACCCCCCAATATCCTTGGCAGTCCGCTGATGTTTCCATGGGGATTCTGCCTCCTCACCATGGCAGCGATTTTGGTTTGGAGCCACCTGGTCATAACAAGGAAAATGAAGATGATGTTGAGGCCATGTCAACAGATTCCTCCAGCAGCAGCAGTGACTCAGACTGAGCGTGTGTGTGTGTGTGTGTGTGTGTGTCCACAGTAACTTGAGTTTGTCCACCTGGAACAGCCTAAAAGTGTGTTGTCTGCATCTTGTTTCTGTGATTGTGGACTTCCAGATGACAACATATTCTGCTTTCAGGAGGACCAAACCTACACGGGTCCTCTTTTCAGCAAAGCCTCATTTGGCTGGATATGTTTTACAAATATGCTTGGTTTTTTCATTCTCCAGATGCCTTCAGTCATCATTTGTTTGTTTAATTTTATCCCACTGGCCTCAAATGTCACCAATGCATTATTTTCATTGTGTACAGAGTGACAGGCTCATTTGCATTTATTTGTTATCTAGTGAAGTGTTACAGTTTCTGGTTTACAGTTGGAATATAAATAGCAATGTAAATACCTCTGAACTTTCAGACTCTGTAAATAAAACTTTTTTTTTTTAAATATTATTTTCTTCATTTTGTTTTTTACTTGTCTGTTTTGTATATACAGAAGGTGTAAGGCATTAGAAGAATGGGTATTTAAATGACCCATCTGGTCCAGTTTTTCTATATATATATATATATACATCGCGGTTCTTACAGCGATGGCGCCGCAGATGGCAGCCTCAGTGTTTGGCTCTCCAGTGTTTGTATTGTTTTTGTTAGTTTTTCCTGTTTTTTGTTTCTCAAACACGATCAGTTTTACCAGGGATGAGCTGCTGAACATTCGGCAGAACACGCCACACAATCTTCTACCGGATTTCGTTTATTCGGACATTTTGCTGAACGTTGTAGTTGGCGAAGCTGCTGCGCTGATCAAGCGCTTCAGGACGCGCAGACGAGGGAAGCGAGCCGGCGCACTTGTGAAGCTCAGGCAGCGCAGATTCAGAACGCCGTTACCCAGCATCCACATGGCGAACCTCCGCTCTCTACCCAACAAAACGGACGAACTTCTTCTGCTCTCCCGGACAAATAAGGATTTTTCACACTCTGCTGCTCTGTGTTTCACGGAAACCTGGCTGAATGACGCCATTCCAGACAGCGCGCTACAACTGCCCGGCTTTCAGCTGTTTAGAGCAGATCGCGATGCAGAATCAACGGGAAATCGCGCGGCAGCGGCACATGTTTTTACATCAACGAAAGGTGGTGTACAGATGTTACAGCATTGAAGATGTGCTGTTCCGATCTAGAAGCGCTTTTCATTAACTGTAAGCCGTTCTATTTGCCGCGGGAGTTTCACTCGTTCATTCTTGTCAGTGTCTACATTCCTCCGCAAGCACACGTGAGCGCAGCTTTACAGGAACTCGCTGATCTGATCACAGAGACAGAACAACAACACCCGGACTCTGTTTTAATCATTCTCGGGGACTTTAATAAAGCAAATCTTTCCAATAATAAAAACCTTCATTTAAAAACTGCATGTTGTGTTCACTTGTGTTATCTTTTACTAATATTTAAATTTGTTTGATCTGAAACATTAAAGTGTGACAAACATGCAAAAAAATAAGAAATCAGGAAGGGGGCCAACACTTTTTCACACCACTGTATGTATATGTGTGTATGTGTATATGTGTGTGTGTGTGTGTGTATGTATATGACCTCTAAAAATGCTTGCACAGATCCTATACTCTGTGCATGATCACTGCTTATAGCCTGTCGACTTAAATTTATTACATTGCTTGCAAAGCAAAACAGTTTTGATATTGCTCTAACATTCTAGTTAGGGTTTATTTGAAACTCCAGCACTTTATATTAATTAATACAGCCTGAATCACTTAACATATGGCATTGAAACTGTTTTGAAGATAATTTTTCAGTCTTGGGTATCTATATTTAGTTTAAACCTTCTCATAATTTAATATCAAATTCTCGAGAATCTCCTATTGAGACCGAGCATTCAAAATCCAACCATCAAATTTTCAAGTACACTTATTTGCATACTGAATATTGGTTATTTGGTTAAGATGTCTTGAGTTTGGAGCACACTCAGCCCAGAATATGCTCCATTTATCAATTTATGCATCTATTATGTGCATTACCATCAATCTCAGTCACTCTCTCCTTTCCTTATTTATCTAGTCTAACTAGTAATATTTTACATAGTTTTAATGCACTTTTAGTGCTTTCCTTCAGGAAATTATCTAGTTTTAATATTTTTTCATACTGGTTAGAAACAATCTAGACAAGCTACATAATGTGCTTGAATAAGTGGCCCTAGTAACACTAGTTGTTTAAATGTGTACCCTCTAAAAAAGTAATTCTGAACTTCTGACTTAGTTTCCATTTTTAGCTCTAAAATCCTTATTATATTGCACATGGTGATTGGGTTTATTTTTACTTTAAACATTCTATGAGTACTGTGCTGCATGGTCGGGCACAGGCGCTAGTTCGGGTAATTTAACATTGGCCACCAGATGGCGCATTAACACTAGCCAGCACATCATCTTTAATCATTTTATTTTGAATTAATAAATACCCATGTCTTGTGTTGCCAAAAGAAAAGATACCAGTCACGTTTGATTTAAGAGCTTATTATTTATACCTATAGTATGTTCAAAATAAAGATATTTGTTCAAACAAATGTAGAATCAGGCGAATATATGACATATTACAAATAATAATTATTATAAATAATACATAATTATTCATATCTACCCGATAGTGGTTAATTAATGGCAGATTTGGAGATGTCAGACAAGTGTCAAGTGTCCTAATCTTTCACATTTTTTTTCAGTCTATTCACAGTTGGTGTCCAGCTTTAATTTAGCTGATGGTGATTCCGTGCATGACTATTTGAAACACTATGCTAATGTGTGCTAATGTTAAGTGTACCAATAGGTGAGATAATGTGTCAGGACATTTTAGAGCTGTTCCTGCTTGTAATTAAGATTGAATTAGCTGCTAGTAAATCACATAATAATTCATTATTTTCCTTCTGTGCCTAATTTACCTACACAAAGGGAACAAACTCTTCCCACTGTGTATCTGTGTTCTCTATTTCTGTCACTTAATTTATTCTTTTAGTTTTTTTCTCTTGTCTATGCTCTCGGCAAGCTGTGGGGTGAACGGGGAAGGACGAAAAGGGAGCCGAAGTAAAGAATGACTCGGATGCTCCCAGAGGTGAACTATAACAAAGGCAGTTCAGATGTTCGTCTGTATTGCTCACAGATTTTACGAACAAAAACGCCGCAGACACAAGCTCTTGTCTATAAACCTTGCTCAACTGTAAGGTTAATGTTTTTCCCATGATCAAATGTGCAAAAAATATATCAACAAACCAAAAACAATGCTGACTATTTTCACATCACACTCAAATTCAACAGCTTTAAATTACAAACTCATTCTTAAATCAAGCAGACACTCGTTTTATGTCTCTTTTTGTTTCTCTTTCTGCTCCTCCTCCTCAACTTTGATTAGTCTTAGATGCTCAAATCTTGGTCAATATTACAGGTAATCAGCAGCAGCAGCAGCAGCAGCAGAATCATTCATGTAATTACTGTTTATTGGAAAGCAGACCAACATCTTTAAAATTTGTCCAAATCCTATGATTATGAAAGACATACCTGTGACATCTGGCTGATGGGTCAGAGACATCTTCTCACATTCTTAGACACTGATTAATCACTGTGTATCACAACCTTATTCGTTCAGGAAAAGAGAACTGATTTAAATACAATTTGATGTGTTGTAACAGTTTGTACTGCTTGTTCTGTGTTGAAGACTGACTGAAATTGCCAACAGAATGTCTCAGTGTACAATGTCAAAAGACAACAAGCTTTTTGTCTTGTGTTTCAGTAAAGACATCTCAACATATTTACAACAAGATCACTTTATCTTCAAAGGAAAATGGCCATTAGGACATGTTTTCAGACAATGTATGTTGTATACAAGTTTACGTGGCAGTAAGACTTTTTTTCAGCAAGGACACATTTAATAGATCAAAAGTGACTGTAAAGACATTTATAATGCTGAAAAATATTTTAAATAAACACTTTTGTACTTTCTATTCATCAAACAATCCTGAAAAAAATGTATCACGTTTTTGACACTGAAGACTAGAGAACTGGCTGCTGAAAATTCAGTGTTACTATAATAGTAAAAAAAACTATAATTTTTACTATAATAAAAATAATAAAAAATAGAAAAGTTATTTTTAATTGTAATAATATTTAGCAATATTATTGTTAACCTTGCTAAATGTTTTATTAAAAATGTTCTTATTTACTAACAGTTCTTATTTAGTATAACAAACAAATTTATTTATGAGTTAATTAATATTAATATTATTAATACAAATATTTTAAAACATCAAATATAAAATATGAATAAATATCAAACCAAAATCTAAATGCTTTTTCCAACACAATTCACAACATCACATATTTTGAAATCAAAACTTGCAAAAATAACTCTCTTGCTGTAAGTCTCTACCATTGTCTTTCAACACCTAGGCATGTACATCAAACACACACATACACACACCTTGCAAGAGGGCACATAATGGCTTAGTAAATCACAACATGTGTGCCAGTGTCTCTATGGCAATGTCTGACTCATTCGACAACATCACTGTCTTCAGTCCACCAACATGTTCCCATAATGCAACAGGAGTGTAAATGAAGTGATGATCCCACTGCTTCACTACAGAATGTAGCCTATTATATGAAATATGTGTTATGTATATGTGTATGGGGTCTTTGCGCCATGTAATCCCAATGTTCTCACTTTTACATGACATATAATGCTCTTCTGTGGAGTTAACAGTGATGAAAAATCTAATCTGTTCACGTTAAATAATTTGTTAGACAAAACGACTACATATTAAAGATTCACCTTCATCGTTTGTTCTAGTTGCAAATGATGAGCTACTTTTAGGGTCTCTTTGATCACATGGATGAGCTGGGGGCATGTACCTGCTCTCTGGAGAAAATGTGCTATTAGCGGTAACTGACTCTCTAAGGGTTTCTGCTCACCATATGTGTTTCTGTCTACCCTACTGATCTTTACTGCATCTTTAATAGCCTTTGTTAGTTCCATCATCAAAGTACTCAATTATAAAATAATAACAGACACTGTTAGATAATTACCATAAATAATTAGTAGCCTAATTTACATGGAGACTCATTTAGTGTTGTGAAGGATCTGAGGATCTTCAAATGCAAACTGTGTTTTGCTTCAAGAGAGCAACCATACATTTGTGTTGTGTTTTACTTTCTTTCTTCCTTTTATATTCATTTAATCTTCATGCATTCATTTATAATAATTTGATTATTTAAATTATTAATTAAAAATTGTATTATTTAAATTTATTATTAAGTGTTAGGACCCGCGTAAATATTGGAGCAGCTTTCCAGCGGTGGAGAGAACTCAAGGAGCATGAAGGACTGGAATCGCTCACCGAGGTAGCTTTGTTTTTTTCTTCATAGGTGAGTTATGTTGATTTTTACGTTGAGCTACCAATACACATCGCTTTCACTTATTGATGGCATCATACCCTCGGCCGGCAGGCATAGCAGATTCCGCTATCGTCGCTGCCAGGGTTGTGTCTGTACGTGTGGGGCGGAGCTATCAAAATAGAGGTGAGGTCCTGTTGGGCTATGGGCGTGTTTGTTTTGGTGCTTTCAAATATCAACATCGTTTGGCAAAATTTGCTTAGTGCACCTTTAACGACAATAAATATGAATAAATGTATAACCTCTAAATGTCACGATTGGCCAACCAGAATCAAGTATAACTGCATAATAGGAACATTTAAAGTAAATAAAACTCAGTAACTGTTCAAATGTAGTCTATCTACACTACATGCGCTCCTTTTGTCTGTTTTTACCTGTTGGACACTGTGTGATGCTAGGAGCAGGTACACACACAATCCTGCACAGCCCAACATCAGTGTATGACAATGATGGAAAATTAACTTCTGTACTGACAGGAAACAGCGGTGTTAAGTTGACATCTATCATATGGACCTTTCAAACTCCTCCACAAGACCTTCGAGTCCTACAAGTTTTTAGAGACCATGATGTCACTGGACCGTAAGGTGAGTTAAACACTGAGACTATTATGTTAATGATAACTCATTTTAACTTGCATTGACAGAACTTCTTCATATTAAAATCTAGAGATGAATGTGTCTAGACTACGTAAAATGTGTATTAATTATCATTGAATGTTTGATGAAGCAAAAATAATGTTTGCATTTAAGATTGTGCTTAATGAATATTTACATTGCTTGAACATGGCAAACTTTCTTTCTTCCTTTTATATTCATTTAATCTTCATGCATTCATTTATAATAATTTGATTATTTAAATTATTAATTAAAAATTGTATTATTTAAATTTATTATTAAGTGTTAGGACCCGCGTAAATATTGGAGCAGCTTTCCAGCGGTGGAGAGAACTCAAGGAGCATGAAGGACTGGAATCGCTCACCGAGGTAGCTTTGTTTTTTTCTTCATAGGTGAGTTATGTTGATTTTTACGTTGAGCTACCAATACACATCGCTTTCACTTATTGATGGCATCATACCCTCGGCCGGCAGGCATAGCAGATTCCGCTATCGTCGCTGCCAGGGTTGTGTCTGTACGTGTGGGGCGGAGCTATCAAAATAGAGGTGAGGTCCTGTTGGGCTATGGGCGTGTTTGTTTTGGTGCTTTCAAATATCAACATCGTTTGGCAAAATTTGCTTAGTGCACCTTTAACGACAATAAATATGAATAAATGTATAACCTCTAAATGTCACGATTGGCCAACCAGAATCAAGTATAACTGCATAATAGGAACATTTAAAGTAAATAAAACTCAGTAACTGTTCAAATGTAGTCTATCTACACTACATGCGCTCCTTTTGTCTGTTTTTACCTGTTGGACACTGTGTGATGCTAGGAGCAGGTACACACACAATCCTGCACAGCCCAACATCAGTGTATGACAATGATGGAAAATTAACTTCTGTACTGACAGGAAACAGCGGTGTTAAGTTGACATCTATCATATGGACCTTTCAAACTCCTCCACAAGACCTTCGAGTCCTACAAGTTTTTAGAGACCATGATGTCACTGGACCGTAAGGTGAGTTAAACACTGAGACTATTATGTTAATGATAACTCATTTTAACTTGCATTGACAGAACTTCTTCATATTAAAATCTAGAGATGAATGTGTCTAGACTACGTAAAATGTGTATTAATTATCATTGAATGTTTGATGAAGCAAAAATAATGTTTGCATTTAAGATTGTGCTTAATGAATATTTACATTGCTTGAACATGGCAAGGGCATTTTGATACTGAAGAAATATCAAGGTCTAATTAACCAAGTGCTTTTTATCCCTGTCACTAATCCTGTCCTCAAATATAGACTTTACAATTTTACACTGACAAATAAATGTTTTAACTTGGATCAGATAATAAAAGCTGGAATAAGGCAGCTGGAGAAAAGGGTTTAGAAAAATGGATTTGCTCCTGTTAGATTTGTACAGAGGTGTGAGTGTTTGTTTTGTCCGCTGAGAGCAGCTATGGCTCTTTTCCCCTGACCATACAGTCTGTCCGAACGTATTATTATTATCTTTCCGATATAACAAAGGAGGATCTGTCCACTCTGTAACAAACTGTTACAAACTATGGAGAATGGACATCTCTGCTTTATTTATTTTCTTTCTCGCATACACAAAAACATGCTGCAAATATCAGGTTTGGGCACAATTCAGAAAATTCACAGTACAGAATTACAATATTCCACTTCCAAGAGTGTGAATTTGAATTGAATTAGCTACAACACGCAGGAAGTAGAATTATAATTTTTTTTGATTTGGGATAACAAGAAGTGGAGTTTACTGACTCATTGTGAGAAGTTTCACAGGTAATGGCATTCTGGGAAATGAAGTGTTTTTTCCATCCTGGTCAATAATCGGTTTGTCCATAAGGCCTATAAAACCTTCAAATGTTAAGACTTTCAGCATTTACCATAATGAATTTTCCCTTTATTGACTTTTTTGTGTTCATTTAAATTAATTTAAATTCTGCTTCTACCTCAGTTCTAGTTCTCATGTGCTACTGCAAATTCAGGCAAACACCATCTTTATCAACAGGTTTAATGAGCTGCCAAAATCGCCCCTTCAACATGTTGCATTTTAAATACACTACCATTATAAAGTTTGGGGTCAGTAAGATTTAATTTTATTTACAGGAATGAATACTTTTATTCAGCAAGGATGCATTAAATTAATCAAAAGTGACAGTAAAGACATTTATAATGTTACAAAAGATTTCTATTTCCGATAAATACTTCGACATATTCAAGAAAACATGTTTTATGGTTTCCACAAAAACATTAAGAAACCATTTCCAACACTGATAATAATGCATGTTGCATGAGCAAAACATTTGCATATTAGAATGATTTCTGAAGGATCATGTGACACTGAAGAATAATTCTGTTTTACCATCACAGGAATCATTTACATTTCAAAATGTATAAAAATAGAAAAGAGTAAATTTAAATTGTTATTTTAAACTGTGTTACTGTATTTTTGATCAAATAAATGCAGCCTTGTGCATAAGAGACTTCTTTCAAAAACATAAAAAAGTATTTCTGGCTTCAAACTGTTAAACGGTATTACACAGGTGTGTTCTAGTCTCAGTCAATTTGATTACATCTTGTAAGAGTGAGGATGCACATGCGCAACAATGAATCCTGTTAAAAGAGGTTCGCTGCGATGCTTTGATACTACGTTGAATTCAAAGTGCTTTTATCTATTTATAATGAAAATAATTCTACCCTTGCACAAACACTGGCTTGATTTATGCGATATATGTCGATATCTCGATATATGTCTCTTTCTTGGATCGATAATGCAGGGACATTTTTCCTGTAATGAACTAGTCAACCAGGTGAGGTAAATTCTTTTTGCAGAGAATTTAATGAAGGAAGTAAGCAAATTTTGAAACAGGAAGAAGTGTTGATTCAAAGTTACCATTCATCTTCAGCTCATTTCTCAATTTCAAAAAGGTGTCCTGTCCTGATAGAACATTAACAGAGAGAGAAGATACATTCAACTGCAAATAAAACGATCTGACAAGACAAAGCCACGCTGAATTATGTTCCTCATGCTGTATGTGTGCAAGCGTGTGCGTTTATGCCTTTTGGGGCAGCAATTGTTGATCATCAAACACTGATCTCCAGCAAGGACTCATTCTTTCTGTCTGCAGTCACCGTCTTATCCTAATGCTGGCAGAACGTTATATGCCTCAGTTATGTTTTTGTAGAATGTGTCATTTTGAGTACATTGTGCAGCAGTGATAACGCTGGACTCAATGTGAGATGGATGGCATTAGGGGAGTGTGTTCCACAGACACACAGAAAGTAAATATTAATGCACTCTCGCTCAAGCAGGAACATTTGTGTCCACCACACAGTGTCAGAAAATATTAATATCTAGACTAAGGTATTTACCCTGTAGGTGTCCGTGTGTGTGTCAGCGGCTTCACGCTGCTTGAACAAAGCTCTGAAGAGCTCTAGGAGAGCCAGCTGTTCTTTACTTTAATTTACACACAGATATTTCCTAAATGACCACAGATAGTGTCTGGATTGATTATTACATTTACAGAAATATCTCAATGATGTGTGCCTTTCACACAATAAGGCCAGTGATAAGCTTACTCAATAGGATACATAACATCTGGACAGAAAGAAGAGCTTTTCTCTCATCCTTTTCTTCTTTTATCACAACGGATAATTAAATCTGTTCTGTCCTTCTGCTTTTTTGGTCTATTTATCACACTATAGTGAACGTGTGAAGACAGTGGGTTGTTTTCGAGCTTGTTTTCCCCTTTAGTCAAAATCATGAATGAAAAGTGTTCTTATCTGCACAGAGCGAGCAGTGGATGAGCCACCTCTATTGCACAGCTAAAAAGAGAGAGATGACTTGGGTTTATTAAGGGTAACATGATGAAGTCCGTCTCACACGGCCAGAAGAGAAGGAGAGAGGAAATATGAGAAGTGAAAAAAAAAAACTCAAGAGAATGAAAGAGACTGAATTCTGCACTTTGTCCTCAGACAATGAGGTGTATTTTCCCGAGGCAGATGATTTTAGGAATTACTGGTCAACAAAGAGCAAATAGCTAACCAATTCATCTTTCTGTATTACATTTCTGTATTACAAGTAACATGCAATCAGTGGTGAATAAAATACCTGAAAGCCACAAGTAACCGCATAGATATCTTACCAGAAAATGACTTTGGTAGAAGTTAAAGTCACCTTTTAGTATATTCGTTGAGTAAACATTTTAAAGAAGGCTATGTGTTATTTATTGTACTTAAGTATGAAAAGTATTTTTTTTATATTAAACTTAGGCTAAGTATTGAAAGTAAAAGTACAAGTAAATGCAAAATAGAAAAGGAGCAAATAAATATTATAAATGGTTCTATACACAGTTTGAGCAGCAAGATTTTGACCAGTTTTAACTCTTTCTTCCATTTTGTATCTTTGGGTAAGACTCTTTCATTCCAACATAAGAAAAATTTCTTACAAATATGGAATCTACATCTGAAGCGGGATGTATTTAGATGTATTTACACAGACTGTTTAATGTAGCTCAGAGGGGACATAGATGCATTTAACTTGCAGTTACAACTGCATAAACAATGTTTTGTTTTAAACATAAAATGTTGAATATTAATATTTGAGATATTTAAAACATGAAAAGATACTTGAAATGTGAAATTAAAACCGCCAGTATAGGCAGCAAGTCCCTGTTAACGAGTCATTGATATTTAACCGATTCATTCAGACGGCTGATTCATTCACGAACGAAGCATTTGACTGTTTTAATGAGTGAGTCACTGAATCATGAAAAGAATCAAAAAGCTGATTCATTCAATAAGGAAACACCGTCCTGCATGTTGCTCAGACTCAGCAACGCAAAACAGTGCTGTGGATTGTTTGGAACTATTTTCGTTGACAAAATAGAGCAAAACAGGCAATATGGTGTCTGGAATATAAGTCACTTATACTAACTTTATTAAACTAGTCCCATCTTTATTTTCTAGTTAGGGTTGCCAACCATTCCATATAATACGGAATCGTCCCATATTTAAAGGTGGGGTATGTATTTTTTCAAAAACGCTTTAGAAAACTGAGTCGGACCGAATACCAAAACAAACTTGTAACCAATCAGCAGTAAGGGGAGTGTCTACTCATGATGTGGAGGATAGAGCGCTCAGTGCATCGGACGGACATTAGCCGAGCCGAGCAACGACAGAAGGATTTAACGTTAGACGGTGGATAAAAAACAAAATAGGAAAACCTCTGTGGAACAAAAGAAGGCTTACGTTAAGGCAAGAAGTAGGGCCCGTGTAAATATCGGATCAGCTTTCCAGCACTGCATGGAGAGAACTCAAGGAGCGGGAAGGCCTACAATCGGACGCAGAGGTTGCTTTGTTTCTTCTCGATAGGTGAGTAATACCGTGTCTACACCGGAGCACCGCGCAGTAACAGCTAAAGTCTGTCTACACTGGACGCGACAAAGCGACCGTTGAAAATCATTTGAAATTTGTGTCAATACGTCATAAATAGAACACAGCAGCAGTTTTCTGTCTGGGATTTGTCATGTTGCGCCGCGCCGCATCCAGTGTAGTAGACTGCATCACTGATTATAATGAGTTCTATACACTGATCTATAATAGAGAATTATATAGATCAGTGGTTCTATAGTATTTTGTTGTGCCGCTCGCGTCCAGTGTAGACATGGTTGGTTTTGCTTTGTTTCACAGAACTAATCGTTGCCTGGGTTGCGTACGTATGTGTGGGGCGTGGGGCTCAAAATA